AAGGCTCTCTACGCTCAGTCAGGGAGTCTGACAACGGAGGGTAACAAGAAGGAAAAGGCAGTGGGGATTCGGGTGGTAACTGTGACTAAGACAGGTCAGGTGGCGGAAGCAGAAGAGGAGTAGGACCAACGGTAGCACAACAAGTAGCACAACAAGGCAGGCGTTGCCAAGTCATTTGTCGCGAACAAGTAGCACAACAAGGCAGGCGTTGCTCGCTTTGTCAGAAAGAATCCTCAACCCAAAACAACCCAAGCCAACCCAATGGTGGTTGACACCGCCTTACACCGGCTCTATGACAATACATGTCGATGATGTGTCGGGGACGAAGGGCGCCCTCGATCATGAGGTACGTCGAGTCTCACCGCACCTCGTTGGCCTCGCAGAGATGCAACACCTTCGCCTTTGGGTCCTCGAGCTTCTGTGCCTCCGTCCTCTTGGGTGAGTACCCTAATGGAAGAGGTTAGGTCTCAAAATAGGTTTACCGGCTCATTGATGTCCAGCACATTCTTCAACGCTAGCTAGATAATTAGGTTGCAAATGTGTAATAGACGCCTGGTGTGTGTGTTTAGAGGTTTAAATGCCAAGACACAATGATATATTTGGAATGGATATGTAACAAACAAGCGTGTGCCAAGTATCAACGGATGAGATACTATTGAGACTTCATCATACTAACAATCAATGCATGATGAGCTGAACAACAAGGAAGGGGAAGATCGGGTGCAAACCAACATAGCGCACGTGCATGCCTGAAAAAGACAAGGGTGGCTGATGGTCGCTTCCTCCACTACGGCACAAGAACTCCATCGCTGCGGCGTTGGACGAGGAGTTGTCCGATGTCACCACAATGCAACGGTGCTCCAAGCCCCACTTCTTCACCACCTCCTTCAACACGTGAACCTTCACTACCATGTTGGACTAGTGGTTCTCACCTGTGCAAATGTCATGGGTCAGCGTGACAGCCCCTACCCCCTCAGCAACCAGCTCCTGTTTGAGCTTGATCCTCGCCAGTCCTGCCACGCAAATGATCTGGCGGGCTAGGTTGCTGCGTGTAGGAATGACTCGATTGATGACACACTCGGGGTTGGAGGTAATCATCAGCTGGAGAAACTGTCATCGTAGGGGTGTGATCGTCTACCACAGACATGTCCCACAAAGCAAGTCCACGAGAGCGAGCAAGCGCGGCCTAGTCCGGAGCAGGGCCAAAGCTATACTATGCACGGACGCGGTCTGTGAGCTGCACAAATTACTGACCCGGAGCGCCTTTTTGAATCACGTACGGGCAGGGAGGCAAAGTGACACCAGGCAACGCTGAGCTGGGCAGACCACCACCACGACCAACACTCCCTGGTCCTCTAGGCTGCTACTGCACCTGCTGCTACGGCTGTCCCTTCCACGGCTGCTGCTGCTGGGACTGCTATCGTCGTTGTGCCAACACCCCCTCCCGTCGGGCCCGCAGGCCCAGTACCGCCTCCATTCCGCCTCCACCAAACGCACGAGCGGCACCAGTACCTCCGCGACCCCTGCCACCATCACCAGCTCCGCCACCCTGCCCCCCTCACCTTCCTCCCCTACCAAGGGGCCGCCCACCCGTGGTGGACACCGCTGCAGTCTGCGGAGAGAACTCGTACAACGGGAGCTAGACTACAGGGTAGGCACGAGTGTCGGAGTTATCGTAGCGTTCCTTAGCATGTCCTCTCTACTTGCGTGTTTACGGGGCAAAACCGCAAGAGTTTCACTAGCAAAAGTTGAGAACAATAGCTGTAACAACGTTGGCAAAATTGACTACATCGTGAAGCAAGTCTACCTACCATGCAAGCTGGTCGACCTCCAGCGCAGCACGGTCGACCGCATTCGAGCACGACAAGGCCGACCGCGCTCCAGCAGTGCAACGTCGCGGTCTACCAACGCAGCAAGTCGACGACGCGCCAACGCTGCAGCAAGGCGAATGCACAGCGTTGTACCCGCAGGACAGCAGTGCACCCACTTCGTAGGTGCTCGTAGCTAGTTGGTGTGCCCTGCCCCGTCACCTGCACAACGCAGACACCAAGTCGTCCATGTGCCGGTTACTGCACCTTATCAGCCACGTCGCCCTTGGGATACCACCACCGAGTTCGGCTTCGTCAAAACTACCAAAGCGACTGTCGCACTCATCCGCAGAACCCCTTCGCTCGAGTAACCTGGTCGACTAGGCAACGCCGTCGACCAGTTGCTCCTCCTCGTGCCCGTCGACCACCACGAGTCGACCATACCAAGTCGACCACACCCCTGTTCGACCAGCTCCAGGTCAACAAGCCCAGCTGTCAGCCGACCACACCAGGTCGGCTTCCCCAGGTCGATGTCACCTAGGCGACGCCCTCCTCCGGTTAACCTACCAAGTCGGCCTCCCGTCAAAGTCGGCGCCCTTCCCAGGTCAACGTCTCCCCTCGTCGGCCACTAGGTTGAAGTTGGCCGCCGGCTCCCCAAAGTCAGTGGCTTTGCAGTGGCCCCGTGCAGGCCGACCCGGCCTGTCAACCAGCTCGCCCAAGTCAGCGTTGCCCACTTCTGTAGGTCGGCTGCACCTCCCGCACACCTGACCACGAAGTCGGCTCCGCCCAAGCGAGGACGGTGACACAAATGAGGGTGACGCTTGACTGCGACAATATTATCCCTTGCCCTATCGATTATACATCGAAGGCAAGCATGAGCATATCAGGCCGTTGTTACCCGCTAATCTATCGAGGGGAATAAGCTTATCATATCCTTATCCACGATCACTGGCAGCAATTGAGTGATACCTGTGCATCGACACCTATATACCCCGGTAGTTACGCTTGTTGCATCCGTCATGAATGTCAAGAACATACGGCAACAAAACAGATTGAATTAACAAGATGAGAGTACTAGGAGAAAACACTTGAGCGTTGTACCCCCTAAGGCTAGCCCCACTATAGCCAAATAATTTATAATCAGACAGTTTTGACGCACGTCCATAAGCAAAGTGGAGGGTAGCTAGAACAACAAACGGTCACAAGACCAGTCAAGAGTAGAGACAATACAAAGCTCAGGGTGGATCTCAAGATCAGCACACAGTCCGAGCACAAGCAAGCGGCCACAAGGATAATTCACGGTGTAATAAGAGCACAAGCAGTACAGGGATCACAACCTAGCGATAGTTAATAAGAAATATATATATATATATATATCAAAGTACAATATTAAGTGAAGAGACAAGCAAATAGGTGACTTAGGTGACTTAGGTGAGAACAAATAGTTGAACTAGAAAAAACTCGAGTCACAAGCACGAGACGCACTAGATGCAAGAGAAGCAGTGGAGGTGGGAAGCTGTGAGACAGTGCACTCCTGAAAGAGAGGGGGAATTACGGCGCCAAAAGCAGGGGCAATAGAGCGGATGTTGCTCCGATGTCCTTGAGGGCTGTCTCAAGGACATCGATAGTAAGTTCACTTGGGTGCTTCCGAAGAAGCGCATCACGAACAGGTGCAAGGCGGCCAGGGAGGCAAGTGGCGACGTAGTGGATAGTGATCACCACGGGCGAGGGGAGCAGTGCAAGCTGAGCCTCAGTACAGGCAGCACGTTATATGACGTTTAGCGAGCACAGGCGGGTGATAAGATCTGTAGTGCAATCAGACGCACCTAGGTTGGGAAAGAGAAACGGGAGAACGAGGCGACCAGGAGAGGCAGAGGAGAGTATGGAGTAACTGGTCTTAATAGCAGCAACAAAGTCCTTGGCAAATCGAACCTGGGTGAAGTATGTCTCCTCGGACTCGGGGAGAAGGCTACCGAGGGCAATGCAGGCGGCAACGTTACGATACTACTATACCGAATGAGCTGTACGGCCCGGAGCGAAACGTTCCCGTTCTTAACCAGTAGGCTCAGCACCCATGGCCGCAAGGGTTGGAGGAGAAGATGTTAAAAATCTCCTTTCCTTGTAACTTGAATTCATGCGATTAAGATTGGGTAGAGATAACCACCCAACCTTAGGTTGGGTGTATAGCTAGGGTTAACCCTACAGTTGGGGTTGAGACCCAACCTTTGACCCAAATTATTGGATCCCAAAAGGTTGGGTTGGGAACATTATTGGTTCCCCTTCAAAAATGTTGACCCGACTCAAGAGTGGTCAATATCATTGGAGCTCCTCCAATAATTTCCAACCCAACTTTTTTGGTGGGCCTCGAATAATGTTGGCTCCCTCTACTCTACTCTTCCCAACAATGTAAACCCAAGGCTTTCATAGTTCAATCATCTCATTATGTTCAAACCTTGTCTTTCACATGGTATAGAGCTCTCCTTGCTAGGCCTACTTCTTTTTTTCAGATTCTTTTTTCGCCGCCGCTCTCTCCTCCACATCCACGCATGAGCATCACGCCCCGGCTGGTTGGGTCTTCCCGACCCGACCCGGGTTTTGATTCGGTTCGGGCTAGGAGTTCTGAACCCCTGACCCGGCCGGGTCGGGTCGGGTATATCCGGCCGAGTCGGGCCGACTCGTGACCCGATTCGGGGTCGGGTCGGGTCGGTTTGGGATTTGACCCGAATAGGGACCCGACCCGGTTTCGGGTACGGCGCCCTTGTCGGGTCGGGTATCTGGCCCGACCCGAGGGTTTCCACTCGACAAAGTGATCCAGGTCGCATTTGCGTATGCTAGTTTTCCTTGCGACTAGCATTTCGATCTGGATTAAGTTAACTTACCTAGCTAGTGACGCCAGCAGCCACCCACCAAGCAACATTGGCGTAATAGACTACCCTATAACCTGCGATTTTGTTTAGTTAGTACTCTACAAATCCCTGTATATAAGTCCAACCAAATTGGGGTTTCCGTATAAACCGTAATTAACAGGTCGCGTTCCCTAGGCGCGCGGATTGCAGGCCCCCCGTTTTAGGGCATCTCGCCGCGCCGTGCAGGCACACATCGCTAAGGCCGCGCCCCTGCTAAAGGCTTTGGGAAGGTCATTCGACACGGTCCTGCGCGGAATTCACGATAGGTAGTTAAACGGACGCGAGAATGGAAGGAGAGGATGATAGCAGTTGCGCGATCCCAGGGGCTTCGCTTGGAGCCCTCCCGACGCCGGCATATAGGGCCTCTTTCCAATTGGGGAGCTTCTTCCATGGGGATGAGGATATTGGGTGGGACGACACCACCGCGGCAAGGAGGCGTGAGGAGTTGCAGCAGTGGGGGTCTGAGGGTCCTCCCGCATCGGCTACGGAGGCGCAGGGACCAAGGGAACGAGAGAAAGACCCGAATTGCCCCCCCCCACCACAGGGTGAGGCGGACGGCGAGAGTGGATGATCGGGTGAGGAGGGTCGGGGAGAAAAGAGGAGCCACTACCCCAGTCTTCAGATCTGGTGTCGGCGTTTCAAGGATCCGAACAAGCCGGACAACCTGATGTTTCCCGATGGGGGATGGGGTCTAGAGGTTCTTGACTCCACAGCGTAGCCTTGGGAGCATGCAGCCACATGGCCCAGGACTATATCGACACCGGAGGGTACGCCCGCTAGTGCGGTGACTGGTGGCGTTGCGGCTGGTGGGAGTAGGCAGATGAACATGTGCGCATTCAAAGTGTCGCGGTTGGTGGCCAGCAGTTGCGCGAGGGGTTGGTGCAGCTATTTTCGGGAGACGACCTTCCGTTTCGATTTGTTGAGTGTCACGAGGTAAGTGACGCCATACTCCTCTCGTTGTTCATGCTCATTTTTGTATCGACGTGGTCATATTAGGGTTGCTGCACTGCTTTTCATAGGCTTTCCGGATGCATCGTCATAACCCTTTTACCCACATCCACACCACCATTCCTGCATTTGTATTTGCATGTACAGTTCGAGACATTTGTCCATATGCTGAACCCAGGAGCTGCGCTACTGCTCGGCTCATGCCATCGCTTGGCACGGGACATGCAGGCATACGGGGAGGCTGCTAGGGAGGACATGCGGCAGCTATTGGTGGGTGATGGCTTGGCGGGAAGGATGTCCCTCACCTTTGACATCTGGACCAGTGAGAATAACGTGGCCTTCATGGGGGTGACTGCCCACTGGGTCACCAGCGACTTCCATCTGAAACAGGCTGTTATCGATTTCGGGGAGCTGAAGGGCTCTCATACGGGGGACTTGATAGCCGATGAGCTGGAAGAGGTGTTGACGGAGTGGGGCTTGGAGAAGATGCTGTTCGCCGTGATGTGTGACAACGCCGAGAACAACAGCAAGGCGATGCGTCTGCTGGCCGGTGTGCTTGACCGCACGCCGGGCTCACAGCCCAGGCACCCTCCACTGCTTAGTCGCTGGAGGCACTTCAGGTACTATGGGGCTGTCTCCGTAAGGGTACGCTATATACTGTTGGCGTTGCTAACTATGGTTGTTATTGCCGTGCTTATGTGGTACATTTACACTACACCCACGCTGCACAATGCATTGCCCCAACAGGTGCGTGGCGCAAGTCGTCAACCTTGCAGTGCAGGATACACTGAAGGTTGACGAGGTGGCCGAGCCACTCAAGAGGCTGCGAGATGTGGCGAACTTCATCGGGTGGTCCACGCTGCGTACAGATCGTTTCTTCAAGCTGCAGAGGGGATACGCAACGACCCGGCCCCAGGGTCCTCCAGGTGCGCGGCGAGCATTAGGTCCGTTGCGCCTGATTGTGGACTCGCCGACGAGATGGAGTTCTACACTCAACATGGTGAACATGGGGTTCGAGGTGCGCATGCCTCTTGCCATGTTTTTCGAAGATTCCGATGTACGTACGGAAGGATTAACATGGCCATGTGACTATGGCAAATGGGGGTACGTGGGCATGGCTTGACTAGTTAGGCATGTTGTGATTTGGATCTTGGACGCCTAAAGTCGTATAATGTGTTTCCTCCATCTTTACAACCCATGTGACCCATTCCAGCCATCCATCAGCAAGGAGACTCGGAAGGCGATATACGCCATCAAGTTGACGGATGCACACTGGGACGACCTCGCCAAGCTCCGAGACTTCCTCACTCCATTTGAGCAAGTCACCCTCTTCGCCGAGGGTTTCCTGTACCCTACCCTCTCAGCCGTTGTACCGCAGTACAACGCGCTGATTGATCTGCAGGAGAAGGCGCAGCTCACTCTTTCCATCTCCCCTCAGCGCTCATCGCTGATCACTGCTGCTATGAGCAAGCTGGAGCGACACATGGGGGGTGTGAGCAAGGAGGCAGCGTTAGCCACATTCCTGGACCCGCGCCAGAAGCTCGCACCTTTCAACCACCGAGCGAGGGCAGCGGAGGGGAATTCGAGAGGGGCAACACTGGAGCTAGGCCCTGATAGGGTGAAGGCCCTGGTACGGGCGCGCCTTCTAGAGTACCAGGCAGCCAGCACTACGGCACAGGGCAATGGTGGGGAGGTGACTAGTGCGAGGGGTGCAGGGGTGCATGCGTCGGCAGGGGGTAGGGCTGTGGATGCATCGGCAAAGGTCAGCATCCAGTCTCAGCTGTTCGCAGCGTTGGACGCCATGGAGGCCGAGAAGGGGGAGGATCCATAGGATGAGGTGGATCAGTACATCTCAAAGGGGAGGCAGAAGGGTGGAAGTGCATTGGAGTTGGTGCAAAACGGAGACCCTAAAGGGCTTGAGGGCGATGGCTCGCGATTACATGGGGGTACCGGCTTCGTTAGCAGCAAGTGAGCGCAAATTCTCACAAAGCAGTAACATCATTACTTGGCAGCGACACCGACTGGCAGCTGGCCAAGTGCACGCTTCCATGCTGATTAAGACGTGGCAGGACCACCACCCTTTGGGGACTCTTGCTCCCAAGGGCACTTCAACGGCAAATCCTACCCTGGGAGTGGAGGATGAGGCGAGGGAGTTGTGATATTTGTTCGTAATTGATGCTTATGCCCTATACTCTTTCAGAACATGTGATCGGACCTAAACTTGATTGGTTCTTGTTCCCGTACCTCGAACTACTAGGTGACTCCGTTAGCTTTTATGCCTTTGTAGCCTTTTTCCAAACAAATGTAGCAAATCAAGCAACTTTAAGTAGTTTATTCACACAATGGAGGACGTTCATATAATAATATTACACATACTTGCAATCAGTGCAACACTGTACAGTAGTAAAGAGAACCTCTAACCCTGCACATGGGGGTCTGGCCCGACCCGACCCGACCCGGCCGCTACCCGACCCGACCCGGGGGCGGGTCGCGCCTGACCCGGCACCCGATACCCGGGTCGGGCCAGAGATCTTTGAAGTTCCGACCTGACCCGACCCGACCCAGAACCCGGCTGGCCCGCCCTAGTCGGGCAGGGTCGGGTCGGGTCGGGTCGGGCCTTTAGATCATGCCACGGCCCTTCTGCCGCCGTTACTTGCGCCCTTAGTCGTGGCATCCCCGCACCACGGCCACTGCGGTCCCTCCGCCGCCGCCCCGCTCTCCCTCGCCGCGACCCCGCGTCGCCCCTTCCCCGCGCCAGCACCGCCGCGGCATCGACGCCGCTGCCGTCCGCGCCCTCCCGCGCCGCGACCCCACGTTGCCGTGTCCCCGCGCCTCCGCCGCCGCGGCCTCGACGCTGCCACCGCCCGCGCCCTCCCTCGCCGCGACCTTCGTCACCGCATCCCCGCGCCCGCACCGTCGCGGCCTCTTCGCCGCCGCCGCCACCGCCCGCCTTCGCCTTCGCCCCAACCCCGTCGCCGCATCCCCGCGCCAGCGCCAGCGCGGTCCTCTCCGCCGCCGCCGCCCGCGCTCTCCCTCGTCGTGACCCCGCGTCGCCCCTTCCCCACGCCTCCGCCGCTGCGGCCCCGACGTCGCGGCCGCCCGCTTCCTCCCACGCTACGACCCCACATCGCCGCGTCCCTGCGCCTCCGCTGCCGCAGCCTCGACGCCGCCACCGCCCGCGCCCTCCCTCGCCGTGGACCCCGTCGCCGCGTCTCCGCGCCCACGCCGCCGCGCCCTCGACGCCGCCGCCGTCCGCGCCCTCCCTCTCCGCGACCTCCGTCGTCGCATCCCCGCGCCCATGCCGCCGTAACGTCGACGCTGCCGTCGCCCGCGCCCTCCCTCGACGCGACCTCCGTCGCCGCATCCCCGCGCCAGCACCGTCGCGGCCCCTCTGTCGTTGCTGCCCGCGCTCTCCCTTGCCGCGACCCCGCGTTGCCACTTCCCCGCGCCTCCGCCGCCGCGGCCCCGACGCTGCCGCCGCCCGCGCTCTCCCCTTGACCGCAGCGGATCCACCTGCGGTCATCATCCATGGCCACCCCGTCACCTCCCCCTGCACCCCTCCCTCCTCCCATCGACACCTCCTCCGTTGATAAGCTTCAACTTGCTGCAGACAAATCCGCTATCAACTGGCACTCTTTTGTGGGGAGCGTACGTCGAGTTCTCAAGGATGCTTGGGTCCCCCCTTACTGCGTCCTTGATGTCCTCCTCCGCCGCACACATGCCCTCCCTTCCACCGCACCCGATCCCCCCGGTGACCCTCCCCTCCTCCCCCCTCCTCTGGCAATCCTCCTCCTGAACCTGAACTCAAAATCGCCTCCACTCCCGAACTCCAAGCCGCCGCAGATGAAACCTTTCTCCACTGCCATCGTGAATAACTCATCCGCAAGGCGGACTACGACGCAGCCGTCGAGACCTACACAGAAGCCGTTGTTGGAGAGACGCTCATCTTGCGGTCGTTGCTCAGTATAACGCCGACATGGCAACCTATTCCCCCAAACTCATTGCTTGGTCCGCTGCCGACAACCGCACCTGCACCGTCCTCCTCGGCGCCCTCCCCGACATCCTCACGCGTCGCTTCCAGGCCAGGGAATTCCGCGCTTCCGTGATCTGGACGGAGCTGCACGTCATTGAACGTCGTAATATCAGCTCCATCGGTATTTTTCTTCCAAGCCTACTTCTGTATCACGCTCGCTACTTGTGATGAAAAGGCAGGTCACGCGAGGCGTGCACCCAGAGTGTATCATTATCGTGACGCTGGCTCTGGAGGTACCTCTCGGTGCAGAGGAGCCTGGCGGGAAATTGTATTGGCCTACCCCCCGCATCGAAACGAAGAACTCAAACGGCTGCCATAACGAGTGACGGAAGGCTAGGATTGGCGAAGGACGAAGAGGGGGCGAAACCATAAGAGCGATACAAGGGAATATGAGATGAGGCGACCTCCAGCCGCTGCGAGAAGTGTCACCAACAGCACGAGGTGGTAGTACGACATAGTGCGGTTGAGAGGGGTTGACAGCGGTTGGGTGCATGCTAGACCGAGGGGCCTTCTTGCGGGAGGTCGCGGGGCCTTAGAAAGAAGGGCCGAGGGGCTTTAGGGAGGAGGGGATGGCACCTACTACTGCACGTCATCGTCACCGTCGCCGCCGTCGGCCAATCGCACATGGCCAATTGTGACAAAGCACCGGGTGAAGGCCGGAAGGTGTAGCGCCTTCGTCACGAAGTCATTTGGCTGCTCGGTGGTCGGAACGTACTCCAGCATGAACTTCCCGCGCTTCACCATGTGATGCAGCCAGACATATCCCCGCTCCATGTGCTTAAGGTTGACATGCAGCGCCAAGCCCTCGGCGACCGTGATGGCCAACTTGTTGTGCACCCAAAGGACAGTCGGCGTCCCAGCGTCCAGCAGCTGGAACCCCGCAAGGAAAAATGTGAAGTCGGCGTCCCTCCTTGTCGGCTTCCGTGGCCGCCACGCACTCCGACTCGGTCGACGAAGGCGTTGCGCACTTGTCGCCGGCATCCTCGGCGTCCACATAGCCGACCAGCTTCAGCGACTCAGGTCCACCGCCGAACTCCAGGGTGGTGTTACGAGTGTCGGCAACATAGACGAGGCAGTGGTCGACCTCGCGCCAGTGCTGGTCGCTCCTCACCGTGAAACCGCTCCCCAACTTGCTGCAGGTGAAGGCGATGTCCAGCGTCGTCGTCGTCGCCGCGAACTGCAGCGAGCCGACTTTCTGCCGGTACTCCTCCTCCTCGTGCTCCTCGGCCTCTTCGTCGTCAAACGTAAGCTCGGCGTAGGCATCTTCGTCGCCCTGCTCCTCGTCGATGATGCGCTCGCGCAGCTTGTCGGCATAGTTCTGCTGGTGTAGCCGCAGCTTTTTCGCCGGCCTATCGCGGATGATCTCCATCCCGAGGTAGTTCACCACCGATGAGATCTCGCGCAGCCCGAAGGCCACCTCCAGTAGCTCCTTGGACTCCCTTAGCATCGCGGTGCTGTTGCTGGCGGCAAGCAGGTTGTCAACGTAGACCAGCACCCAGCAGGTCACCCCATCGTTCTTGAAGTAGAGCGATTGGTCAACCTGGCTCTTCTTCTAGTTGACTCCAACCAGCACGTCGTTGAGCCCCCTGTACCATAGCAGCGGCGACTGCTTCAGCCCGTACAGGCTCTTCAGCAGCTTGCACACCCAGCTGGTCCCGTCGTTGTAGTAGTCGGCTGCAACATGTACAGCACCCGGTCGAGCTTTCTATAGAGGAAGGCGTTCTTTATCTTGAGCTGCAGTAGGTTGAGGTCGAGGATGGCGACAATGCTGAGGAAAATTTTCAGCGTGACATAGCTGCTCACCGGTGCGTACATTGCGTCATAGTTGGCGCTGCGTGAAGCCCTTTACGGCCAGCCTCGCTTTCTCGCGCTCGACGGTGTCGTCGATGTGGTACTTTGTCATCAGCACCCACTGGTTCTTCATGATGTTCACCCCGGGGGGTCGCTCAACCACCACCCATGCCCCAGGGAGCTGCTCAACCAGCACCCATGTGCCGCTGGCGATGAGGCTGCGAATCTTCTTGTCCATGGCGGTAATCACCGTCACCAACGCCTCCTTCACCATCATTGTTGCGATGTCCCAGCGGTGTTCGGGGTCGGAGTGCATGTCCGGATCGAGCTCCAGCAGGTCGACATTGTCCTCGGTGTCGTCGTACATTGTGAAGAAGGTGGTCGGCGGCAGGCACACGTGGTAGGTCAAAAACTCAGGCGGCCTCCGAAGTCGGCCTAAATGCCGCAGCCCAGGCTCCTCGGCGATGACCCCCACCACGTCGCTGTTGGTGAGCTGCTCCACTTCATCGACGCCGGCTCAACTGCCCTCACCGGCCTACTGTACCAAGGTCGACGTCCCTGCTGACTTCTCCCCTATTGTCGGCTTCCCTGCCGACGCCTCCTTCACCCTATTCTCCCATGTCGGACTCTTGACTGCCCGCTGCTCCCCTGTCGTTGGCGGCTTCCCTTGCATACCGACTTGCTGGACGTCACGTCGGCCACTGGCAATGCGCTTGGCCGGCGCCACAGTCGACGCCCCACTGCTCCCCTCATCGCCTCAAGTCGACGTCGGTGTCAGCTCTTGCTTGTCGGCTTCAAGGGGTGGTACAAGATGGGCAGGGGAAGGCAAAGGAGGGAGGACGTCATGGGCGTCCTCATCAGCCAGCTCACCAACCTTGGCAAGCAAAGGGAGTGTCGCCGTTGAGGTATCCATCGCGGGGTTGACCTGCGTTTGCCCCAACTTCCACACCTCCAGCGACATGGTCTTGTAGAACATCACGTCCAACGTGGTGACCACCTTGTTGTCGGTGAGATTGAGGTGTTTAAGTGATAACTGCTTAACAAACGACTAAGGAAAGAACAAACAAGCAAATACACTTAAACTAACTCATATGCTATAACCAACATTGCTTGACACACCCCCATAGTCTAGGTGACGATAGTCCTGTGGAAAGCAACACACAGCAAGGATCACAGGACCAGTCAGCAAGAACAAGCAACGGTCACGAGACCAGTTAACAAGAACACAACAAATCTCGGGGTGGATCTCAAGATCACCACCAGTCCAAAAACAAACAAGGGCAGTCCACATGCAAGGGTATAGCAAATATAAGAGATGCAAGAATCAAGACAAGCATCTCTACAGAAGCAAGAGGCCACAAAGCCAGTGCACAAGCATATATACATATTGCAAACATAGAAACATGCAAGAGTACAATGCAAAGCATCTCTACGCAAGCAAGTGAGGCCCTGTAGACACAAGGCCAAGCTGGGCGCAGAAACGCTGGTGGTCACAAGGCGGCAATGCCTTGGTAAAGATCTCAGCAGTGTTGGCCTCAAAGACCACACGTACCACGCGGGCCTAGCCACGCTGCTGCAACCCGCGCAGAAGGAAGTAACGAAGCTGGATGTGCTTCTTCTTCCCAACCAGCCGGGGCTCCTCACACAATAGGACAGATAGCCAGTGAAGCTCTGCGGCGGCCATGGCCGCAGCATACACCTTTGCCTCACAGGTGGAACTGGAGAATGACGACGTTCGAGTCGACCTCCACGAGCAACACCACTCCCAAGACCGAAGCAGTAACCCTGTGTAGACCGCAGCGACTTAGCGTCGTCAACACACGAGCGGGTTCCCTAGTGGGACCGTTTCTTCCTATGGGCCCAACATCTAAAATTTATTTTTTTCTACCCTGGCCCAAGTACGCTTCGCGCTCTGAGCTGCCCTACCCTTTCGCGGCCCCTTAGCGGCCTGCCCTGCCCCTTCGCGGCCCCTTAGCGGCCCCCTTCGCGGCCCCTTAGCGGCCCCTTCGCGGCCCCTTCGCTGCCCCTTCGTGGCCCCCCTTCGCGGCCCCGTAGCGGCCCCTTCGCGGTCCCTTAGCGGCCCCTTCCCGGCCCCTTCCCAGCCCCTTCGCGGCCCCTTCGCGGCCCCGTAGCGGCCCCTTCGCGGTCCCTTAGTGGCCCCTTCCCGGCCCCTTCGCGGCCCCTTAGCGGCCCCTTCGCGGCCCCTTCGCGGCCCCGCCCCGTTGCCCGTAGCGGCCCCGCCCCGTCGTCAGTCGCGGCCCCGCCTCGTCGCCACCCGGGTGTCGCCCCTGCCTCGTCGCGACGCCTCAGCGGGACTCGCACGTCGCCCCCGCCTCGTCGCAACGCCCGTGCGGGACCCGCGAGGTGCGGCTCCAGCGCGTCGCGACGCCCCAACGGGACCCGGGCGTCGCCCCCGCTCGTCGCGACGCCCCTACGGGACCCGCGCGGCGTCGCCCCTGCCCGCCACGGCGCCCTGCCCTAACCCGCGCCCGACCTTCATACGGCCGCCCCTGCCCCCGCCCCTTGCAGCAGCTGCCCCTGCGGCAGCCGCCCGTGGCCCCTGGAGCAGCCGCCCCTGCAGCACCCACCCCTGGCCCCTGGAGCAGCCACACCTGCAGCAGCCGCCCCTGGCCACTGGAGCAGCCGCCCCTGCAGCAGCCGCTTCTGGCCCCTAAGGCAGCCGCCCCTGCAGCAGCCACCCCTGGCCCCTATAGCAGCCGCCCCTGCAGCAGCCGCCCCTGGCCCCTGGAGCAGCCGCCCCTGCAG